AGGCAGCAAAAGCATCAACCATATTTTCCAGAAAAAGGTCACGTTGAAAACATTGAGTTTGGTACTCTGACCACCGGACATTAAAGCCTCCTGTACTAAACAAGGATGGTTAGAAAGCAAAAACAGGCAACTTAAGACGTTGAGTCGACCTAGAAAATTTAAGGCAATTCTTGTGGCTTGTTAGGTTTAGTCGTCGACCAGCCCAAACAATATCATAAGAATGCCGCACTAAAGACTTGGGCAGTAGCTGGTTCAAACAAAATTGACGGGACACCAAGTTGGGCTTGTAGTTCATAAACCCATAACATGTATTCCCCATCTCAATTCGAAATGATAACATGTGGGAGTTAGAAACGCCCTCCATGTAGAGTTCGACAATGTTGTCGTTTTGGGGGAAACACCAGGGAATGGATTTTTGAACCACATCGAGTCAAACCGTCGATTCACGAAGGGAGCCATGTTGGGGACAAAAGATGTTGTTTCCGCAAACATATTGAGATACTTCATGAAGAGGGTTTTATTGGGGGTTTCCTGAGTGGTCATCAGAGCAAGTCGAACGCCTCCTATGGGACTTTCTTCATTTAAATGCTGCATTTTTGCAGACACAGGGTAACCTAGTTGGTGCTCAAAGGTGGCATTAAGCCAATGTTGTAACAGCCACATAGGCCCTGAAACATTTAAGGTTTTGGTGGTCTCATGGAGAAGTTTCAATCTCAAGGTCGATAGACTAAGAGAATGGTATAGGGAGGATAATAAGAGCTTACCCAATGATACTTGTCGACCCTTATGAATTTGGATCACCAAGTTGATGTAACTTTTGGCTATTTACAAAGAGCCAGGACAGAAAAGATAGTATGACAACCAAAGAGTGAGGAAGGCAATATGTTTTTCATCTGAAACTTTGTCGAAATCCTTATCATGATGATCCTCGATATAGTTTTGAAAACCAGCACGAACGAAGTCGAAAGTGTTGGTCGTTTTTAGAGTCAGATCAAAAGTTTCGCCCAAAAGAGAAAGGCATGTGATGGCCGCCATGTCGAAAAGTGTAGGCGTCAACATACCACAAGGGAAGTGGAATGTGTTGGTCGACCCCTCCCAAAAACACATCGACGCCATCAATAGGCAGGGCCTAACCCTGTGAGCGTTTCTAGAGAGTTGGATGGCGTCAAAGATGCCAGCTGTTTTCCATTGCTCTTGACGTTTGCCTTGGACTCTTTTAAGCCAAGAGATATAATCCTTGTTGCTAGGAGTGTGCATCGACCGGAAAACCCTAGATTTTGGCGCCATGAACTTGAGGTCGAAGGTGCCACCTTTCTGAAAAGCAGGAGGTATGGTAGGAACATAGCAGGGAAAGAACGATTGGAGTTCTTCATGACTGGGTTTCTTGTCAGGATACGGCCCATGGAAAGTGTGCAGTTTACCAGCCACCGCGAAAGGAATGATCATCCGGCGTTGCCAGGTTGTTATTACCGTATCATCAGCAGACGTTGGATTGGGAAGGGGTCTGAGAGATTCAGTTTCAGAAAGGACGAAGGTAATAGGGATGTTCTTTGTTGTGTGAGTAGTATAAGCGGCTAATGTTGCAGAAGAAGCCATTGAAAGAGAAGCTAAGAGAACTTTAGGAGCAAAAAATTTTGGAAGAAAAGGAAAGTGTGAGAGAATGTGGAAAAGAAAACCAAACGTGGGTAAGGAGTATTATAGACAAATCACATACAACTGAAAGGACAATGAACTGTTCTGATTCTAAAGTGAGTGGTATTGGGTTAAAGCCTATAACTTAGGACGAGACTAGGCATAATGAGATTTCTTGGAAATCGTGGCGCAGAAAGGCGCCATTATTATGTCAGACATCGTGTGATGCGTGACTGATCGACGAAAGGAAAATGATTGAGTTACTGGGTCAAAACCAAGGTACAATCAAAATCTCGCAGGAAACCAAAATGCCAAGTTTCTTAATCGACATAGTGCTCAGTCGAAACTAACTTTTTGGGGGGACAACTCGTTGGCTAGAAGATTTCGACTGAGAAAAGTTGATAAAAAGGCTAACATGTGGGTCGACAAGTCAGGAAGATGGTGAAGGAAAAGATTCAAGTCGACATCAGCGGAAGATATATCGCAAGTCGACACCAGCAGGAGATGTATTGTGAGTCGACCCAAAGCTATGTCGTCGAAGGTATCGATTGATGGACGATGAAACCGACATAAAGTGTGGGAACCTTTGAGCGGGAAGAAATTTGAAAGGCTGAGAACGCGGGGAAGTTACAAAGATGGTGGAACAACACGTGTCACCACCAGGACCAACATTGAGAGAAAAGCAATTGCTTTCTTTTTCTATTTAAAGCAATGTCCATTTTCATTTAGGAGGTTGCATTTTGTAACATTGTCAAAGAAATACACTTTGAGTACCAAGCATTAAGAGAAAAGAGTTCACTCCAGCAAAATGTATAATAGCGTCCACATTTCTTTTTAAAGCAATTTACATTATCAAACTTTAAGATATCTTGCCTTTTACTTGTTTACTTGCTTGTTTATCAACTCATGTACACTTTTTTTTCAAGATTGTTTCCGACTTACTCTAAACAAAAACCATTATACCAACATCGCATAGACTTGACCAGATTATTCTGGAACTTGTTTGGCCAGTCCAGCAAGTAAACCTGCGTTAGGAGGCTAGAGGTTGTTTGCGCGAAAATCGCGTGCGAACAATATGCTTTCAAATATTTCAGAGTATTGCAATCCATGACATCACCATGGTATTATATTTATCCCAAGTTATCGATTTGGGGTCAGAAGAATGGTGTTAAATTAGGGTTCCACAAATTAACCCTAATTTATTTTTGGAGTGAATGGCAGTATGAATGGATCAAGACCAAGAATGGAAATTGGTGTTGTTTAAAAGAAGGGTAACAAGCATTATTTTAGGATTGACGCTGGGATGCATATAAAATGGATTGGTTTGATAGCTACGAGAGGTGGAAGAAGATTGAACATTGTTGTTGGTGGGTTGTTAAACGTGAGAATCAACTGATTTGGTGGGTGACGAATGAGGTGATTTGGTACGACTATTTTGAGACGCCATTCTAAGGGTTGTTAAAGGTTGGTGTTTGTGATAATGGACAAAATTAGGTTTACAAGAGAGAGAAAATGGGAAGATTTGGGTGCGATTTCTTAGATTTTTATGTAAAACAAAAGGTTCTCTGGGTTACAGAAGGAAGTAAAATCAAGAGGTGGGAAAGGTTTTCCAATAATCATTGGAAAAAGGAAAGATTTTAGGAAATAAGGGTTTGAAGGTATGGTTATCGAGATGAAGGTGGTAGTTTTAGTGAGAGAGGGAGAGAGAATGATAGAGAGAAAAAAAGAAAGAAAAAATGAAATGAGAAGAATCTCGACGTTTTTCTTGATTTCTACCGTGCGAATGAGATAGTGTGATGGAAAGGTGTTGATAACTTCCCCTCCAAGACCTACCCCCAACCTAGAGTAGCTAAATAGGGAAGTAAAATTAAACCAAATCATTCAAGAAAATTACTAAAATCTGCTTATAAAAAAAAAACTGAACATTAAGAGCTACATAATCTCATGAAAAAAACTACAAAAAAGAGTAAACAAAACAAGTCTGTTTAGACTTCTAAACAAAACAAAACCAAAAAATAAACCAAAAAATTTCCAAAAAAAATGAGCCAGAAAAATATCATTAGAAATAATATCACTTTAACACTCATCCAATTAAACATAATCCTTTTGACAAAAAGCTATTGAAACACTAAATTAAGAAAATTAAAACAAAATAAAAAAGTAAACACTAATCCAAAACAAAATAATTCAGAAAAGCAATTAAAAAAAAAGCTTTCAGATAAGAAGGTTTCAATCTATCAACAAACTTACCAAGCCACCACGACCTGTACTGTCTTTTTTATTTCTGATTTGTTCATGACCAATCAGATCCAATATGAACTTGAAAATAAATTTCTGATAAAACTTGAAGATGATATGAAAGATGAAATTTCTGAGGGCTAAGGAGAAGTGAAAAAGAGAAGTTGATGTATGGATAAAATGTTTAATAAATTATAAATAATAAAATAATGTGAGATCAGCACTAAACGATTTAAAAGAGTTAGATGGCCATGTCTGCCCAACTAAACAAGTTATGTCTGCCCACACTAAACGAATTTTATAAAAAGTATCATTGTGGCTAACGGAACTTGATTTAAAACAAACGGAAGTGAATTTTAAAATTAAAGATAAGAAATCAAAGAATTCATTAAAAAGTACTAAAAATTAGCAATAATGCTACTTTCTATACACCTCCGTCATATACATGCATCTTATTAGCAATAAGCAGCAACTCACTCAGGTTGTATCTGGTGCTCAAACATGACCTATAGACTATTTGGATGATTTTATCGACAATTATGAAAAAAGTACTAAAAGTTTTCAACTGCCATAAGGTTTTTACACATCTTTTATTAACTTATGAAGATAGAAACTAATCTAAACTTGGTACCTGCCCTTTATATCACAAAAATGACACATTCACATTCATCGCCAGCTACTATTGTGCACATAATATGACTTGTTCATTGTTTCCGCGCTTCAGCTTATTCGACTCACGACAGAAAATTCAATATTATTGGATAACAGACAATAAAATAACTCGTCCAATGGGACAATAAGGGAACAGTGTGTATGCATTAGGCCTGTATTAAAAAACTAAAGAAAGGTGTATAGAATGTTCTAATGCAGCCATCAAGTTCATCACATTGAGAACAGTTTGATATTTACAATGTAAGAAAATAATCCCCCAGGCCTAGTAATTTTCTTCAGTTGAAACATAGTACTGGTAATTCAAGTAATATAAGTACATTAACTGGTGCAAATTCCATTTGGTTTTGATAAAAGAAGATAGCTGCTTAGCCCTCAACTTAAACCAAACCCACTAACACCGTTTAAAGGTATTGGATAGGGAACAGAACAAGTGACCTAATGTTTTTGTGTGAAATTACCTAAAATCCCGAAGCAGCGGCTTGAGGGTTCCCGCCACCTCTCTGAAGTGCTCTTGTAGCACCCATTTCATTATAATCCTGATCAAGAAAGTAACTGTTAGAATATATAATGCGTGAAACGTTTAAGGAAATTAAACATTCATATCAGCGAAATATTTATTACCCGCTTGTCATTTATAACTTCCTGTGTCTTCAATATTCTGTCAGCAAGTCCATAGTCTATGGCATCCTGTGCTTGGAAATATCTTGTCCTCTGGACGTCTTTAGCAATTTCTTCCTCTGATTTCCCTGTTCCTTTTGCCAACAGCTCTATGTAATACTCATAATTTACCTCCAGCTCTTTTGCCTGTTATGTATTTGCCGGTATAATCGATAAATAGAATGTCAAAAACAGTGATAGGAGACAATAAAGTGAGAGAAGACAACAAACACGTATAGAGTTCACATACCTTAATCCACATATCTGTGACAGAACCACTTGATCTGTGCACTTTTGGGTAATATACTTTAGCTGCAATAGAAAAAAGTTTGAGCCCACAGTTAGAAAGAAAAAAAGCAATGCTTAAACTCAAACAAACATCCTTATACTCCACCAAATCTATAAAATGAAAAGTATACAATCATTTATCTTGCTACTTTATAAAGAAACCAATATAAGAATCCAACCGACACGTAAGAAATATCCCTATTTCAAACTCATCGCAGAAATGAACAATTAATGCAGAAATGAACACTTTTGTCCATTCTCCAAAATTATTCATGAATCATATTTATAGAACTTAGAAAGAAGCATTACTTTGCAGTTCCAAAAAGACAATAAAATTTGTAAGCAATTGTTGTAATATTATTAGTTTGTAGAGACACTGATCATATTTGGGATTGATTCCTTCCACCTTGTAAATAAATATGGTACAAATCATTCATGTAATGCAGCACAAAACCACATACTATTCACTATTCAGATTCAAGCGCAATCAAGCAATATTGTTCAAAAGTTTACACGGATAGGATTCTTACAGGTTGAATGCGGTAGTACAGTGCGATAACCCTTTTTTCCAATAGACAGAAGCATTGCTGCTTGGCCAAACGCCACGGCCACATTCACGGTATAGATATCAGGTTTGATATGCTAAAGATCAAAAGAAGAAGAAAAAAGAATTAATAAGATAAGTTACAGAGAGTTCGAAGTGGTAAACCAAAACAAAACATTGCGATGCTTATAAAAGGGGTATATGATTCATGATAACTTACATTAAGCATATCAGCAATTGAATAAGCATCAGTTTCTGATCCCACAGTCTCACTCCTCATATTCTAAAGCGAAAATAAACGAAAGAACAGACATTGATACAAATAACCACATCATATATTACAAGGGTCAAGGAGAAATTTTAGAACAATGACTATTAACACTTACCTGAGTCCCAGGTGAATTAATATATAAGTAAACAGGTTTCTTACGGTCATCATAATCCAACCATATAAGTTCAGCCACAATAAGTTCGGCCACAGCTGGTACAATCTGTATGAACCCATAGAGGGAATATCAAGATGACTAGTATAAAAGGTAGACAATATATTTCTACATACATATATCAAAACAAACATTTCACTATACCTACCGGCATACCCAGATAAACTATCCGGGAATCCAATAGCACAGAAGGCAAATCCGGAGGAGACCTCCTAGTCCTTCCCCAACCACCTCCTCTACGCATACTAATACTCATGCTGGTCCTTGAAGAGCCACTATTGCTAATGCTAGATAAACTATCCATTCCACTATGATGCAAATAACTTTTGGCAGATGTAATGCTTTCCTGCCATAATCACAAATATTAAGAGCACTTCTAACCAGTTAAACATGATGTGATAAAACTTGGTTACTTTGCAAATCAACCCTCAATCAATAATTATTCTATTAATAGAGAACCTCTGTAACACTTTGAGACATCTGGTGCATAGTATTGCCTGAAGACATTAACGTGTCGATTTGTGAGGGATTAAGACCATATAGAAACTGGGGAACATTCTTGAAGTTTTCTATCACTGCACATGATACATCACATAAAATTCAAGGTTAGGGTTAGGCACCCAAGTTTCGAACTATTCAATTGAACTTGAAAAAGAACCACTTCGAATTAATAAATCCATGAACATGAACAATTAAATCAAACTCCACTGAAAATATTAAGATAAAATTAAACACTAAAGATAACAACACCGTTTAATCAAATTTGTTCAGCAACACAGATAAATAAAACCCTAAAAATTGCATTTTTTTTTTCAATTTTGTCTAAGAAACCAGTTCTTGAAGTAGTGGGTTTTACTATAATTTATCTTCCTAACGGAAACAAAATCCAATTAAGTAAATTAGCATTAGGAAAAGAGAAATTGAAGAAAAAACTGACCTCCATCTTTGAGATTTTCCTCTCTGAATTGCTTGGGGATGTGGTCGAGAGAGCGCTTTGCGCATAAAGGCTTGAAGTGTCGCGGTTTGGGAGTGGAAGTGGCGTGAGGAGAAGGGAAAGGGTTGGTTCCATGGCGAAGAGTTGAAGAATGGTGGATGAAAGGGGTGGAGAGAGAAGAGGACATTGGGAGTGAGAAATGGGGAAATGGTTAGGGTATGCTCCGTTCACCACGGTTTTTTTAAGATAAATAATATATGGTTATTGTTTTCTTAACAAAAATTTTATAGCCCACCAAAAACACAAGTTTAATAAAAAAAATTATATATTTGATTATTTTGTTGGAAGGTGTAGTTGTATGTCTTTATTTCTAGGCTTTTATATTTAGTTATTTGGTTGTTTGTTTTATTGTTTTTATTTTTGACTTTATTTTGATGTGTTGAGTTTTTTTCATTAGAATCAAGTTTAAAAAGATTTGTTTTTAGCATGCATAAAATTTGGGTTAGATTTGATCTTAATCATGATGTTTTTTGATCAATTGCATATCTGAATTATTTTTATGGTGATCAATTTTGTTTGATTTGATTTAAATTAAATTTTGTACATGATTTGAATCATTCACTTTTTCAACAAAAAAAATCATTGTCAGGGCGGTGACATTTGATTCAAATCACCTTTTGCCTGATTCGAATCATCTGAAAGTTTTTTTTAATTTTATTATTCTTTTATTTCACTACATTTACTCATTTGATTTAAATTATAGATTGTTGTTAATTCGAATCTAACTGACTTTTTTAACCATTTGGTGTGTTTAATCTCAAGCACATATAAAAGCTTTTTGTCATCATTTCTCATCATAGCATATATCATTCTGATCATAATTTTCAGTGTGATCTAGTGAAAAAATAATTTTTCCTGTTTTGAGTGTTCAAAGTCTTGCAACGAAATTCTTGCATCTTCAACTTCAACTGAGTTTAGATCTTGATAACAAGAGTTCTGTAATTGATTGAAGGATGTGCGTAATTGAAACTAATTGTTCTTGGAGATCTTGTTGAGTTTTTCATGTTATTAGCAAGATTGATGTGATTGCCAATGATGGTGACAAATTCAATTGAAAAGAAGTAGGTTTTCTCTCCAGAATTGCCTTAGTAGTGACTATGTGGAAGGCTATAGATAAGACAGAGTTTTTCTCAGATCTTCAGACAATTTCACCACTCAAGAAATCAGTAGGAATAAGGGGTTGATAGCTACACACAAAGGCTTAGAGCTAAATTGGTGTTATTTGAATATTCAAGAAACATATTCGAGTAAATATTATGTGGAAGAGTTTGGCAATGGTATTGTATACAAGTCAAGATCTAAATAGGAAATTTATTTCCTCAACTGTATTGTGGATTATTGATTGTATGAACTCTTGAAAATATTTGTCAAATAACAAGAAATTATGCAGGTTTGAGAAGCCATTAAAAAGTGCACGTAGACAAAATGAGGACGAACACCGAAACACTATAAATATCGGTGTCATCTCTCTCTTACTATTGCATTTAATTTCGTAGTGATTGCATGCTTAGGTTTTTCAATTCCATCCTATTATATCGTTTGTTAATTGATAGTTATTTATTACAAAAGCATTAGGTTTTGTTGGAATTGGATAACTAGTTAAGCTAGTTCAGTGATTAACAATCTAAAAATAAATTGAACTTGGAACTCCATCAATTGAATCATTGTGTAAACACTTCTTATGCATTACACAATTGAATCAGTTCATATAAAGCGTTTCATCATTATAATTTTTTATATTTGTGAAACGATTCATGTTGACTTTATCAATATTCAAACTATATAATTTTCATTTTCGCATCAAACATTTTGCTCACAACTCATTTTTGAAAACACTCTGATTTTGGAAAATGAAGGTTGAATTTTAATTTGGGTCTATTCACCCTCTCTAGACCGTTTTCTACTTCTGTATTCACACCCAACAATTGGCATCAAGATTTGATCTTTTGATTGTGTCTAATTAACATACAAAATTTTGTGAATATGTTGGAAGATGACGATCCCAAGGGAGCATATAATAAAGCACTATTTTTCAAATGCGAAAATTATACTTATTGAAAATCGATCATATATGTACACTTGTTATCGGTTGATAAAAATTGATGTGTCGTCACCGATGGACCATTTATTTCCAAGGGTGATAACGACGATGTTAAACATCCAAAAGAATGGGATGAAGCTGAAACCAAAAAGACTTCATATGATTTGAAAGTGAGAAACATACTTATTTATGCTCTTAGTGCTAAAGTGTTATTTCGATTTCACATCATAAGAGTGCTAAAGGCATGTGGGATGCCCTCCAAACTCTTCATGAGGGAACATATGACGTCAAGGATTCTAAAATCAATATATTCACATAGGAGTTTGAACTATTTAGTATGAAACCCGAAGAATCTGTGGACTCCATGCAAACTAAATTCTTCATTTAACCAACAAACTATGAGACTTGGGCAAAACCTTTTCCGACAAAGAATGTACTAAAAAAATATTGAGATCCATGTGTTGGAAATGTCAACCAAAAGTCACTACTATAAAAGAAGAAATGATCTTAGTACTTTGGACATTACAAAACTGCTTAGGAAGTTTGTCGAGCATGAGAATGAGCTGAAACGACTTGCCGATAACGAAGTAAAGTCAAAAAAGAAAGAGAAATGTAATGAAGATAAATAATATCTTTCTTTAAAAGCTTAATCTTCCAAAAGGAATAAGTTAAAGGAAGAAAGTGGCAACTATAATTAAAAGGTTTCCAAAAAGGAAGAAATGAGTTTATTTGTAAGACGCTACAATATATATCTTAAAAGAAATAAGATCAAGCATAACGACAAAGGTCTTGTGAATTTCATAAATACTCATCCACCCAAGAAGGATCACAAGAAAGAAGATGATGAGATCACGTGTTATGAATGTGGAAAATTGGGACACTATAGAGCTACATGTCCAAATCTCACCAAACATCATAAAAGTAAAGACAAGGCTTTCTACAAGATGAAGGGAAAATATTCCAAAGGTTGTAGAGCCTGCATCGCGTGGGAAGAAGAGGTTGAGAGTTCCTCCTTAGATTCTTGCTCGAGTTCAGATGATGAGTGTTATAAGTTTTACTTAATGGCACGTAAGAAAGGTGGAACTTCAAAGGTATATAATTCTAATTCTGAAAATGAGTATACTTATAAATGATTTGTCTATTGCTTTTAATGACATGTATGTTGATTCCACTAAAGCGTTTAAGAAAATTTCTCTCCAAAAAGAAATTATTATAACACTTGAAAAGGAGATAAATACTCTTAATTATGCTTTAGATTGTCTCAAGGAAGCTCATACATCTCTTATGGATGAACATTGTAATGTTTCAAATACTTTAGTTGAAAAGATAAAAGTTGTGGAATATGTTAAGTGTCCAATTTTAAAACTTGAAATTCAAACTCTTAAGGGACAATTAAGATATGATGCCTCGCTATCTAATACTTGTTCTAGTTTTTCAATTGAAAGAGGGAAGGTTTTTAAGAAAAACCCTTATGTCGCTATGAGAAATAGAAGAAGCATTTCATCTAAAGCTATTTGTCATTATTGTTGAGATAATGGTCACATTAGGCCTTTTTTCCATGTTATGAACATTCAAATTTCCAGTGATAAACATGGATTCATAAATGTAACCCAACTAACCTAAATGATCCACTAGTTATGAACCTAAATTACCTATTTAATTTTTCACTAGAAAGTCTTGCCTCCGCAAAAAAGATTGTGGCTTATAAATAGCGGATGTTCAAGACATGGGATGAAGGATGCTTCCATGTTCATCAAGTTCGATGAGAAGGAAAGTGGCCACGTCACGTATGGAGACAATAGGAAAGGTAAAATTTGTGGTGAAGATATTGTGGGAAATCCCTCAATAATTACCATTTAAAATGTGTTGTTAATGAAATGGCTTAAACCAAGTCACATTCACTCCCAAGTCACTACAACCACAATGTTACGGTGAGAATGGGATATCAAGCTATTGAATTAACTTGAATCGTAAATCATGAACTTCACCATCAAACTTTGATTTATCCAAAGGAAAGGGTAAAGATCGAAGAAAACCCTAAGTATGTTATGTAACAACAGAGCTAGAGATCTAAGGTTCGAGGTTGGTTATACGTAGGGAAAGTGTTAGTATCTTAAGTATCTGTAGTACTCTACAGGAACCTCTTGTTAGTATTTGTGTTAGGGTAAAGTTTGCTTGCTTAATGAAAAGTGCTAAGGTAAAGATCTAAAGTATATACAAAGTATACTCGCCAAGACATCGCATCTCGTGCCTACGTATCCTGACGGGAATGGAATCGAAGCAACCGTAGTTCCACTCAAGAGGGGTGAGGAACTCTTGACTGTGGTTAAGGTTCCAAAGGGAAAAGTAAATGTCTGCGGTGAGATACCTAGATAGAGTGTGGCGACTCCAAACTAAGGCTAAGTTAGCAAGGAAGAGAATATCCACGGTGGGACGACTAAATAGAGCACGACAACTCCAAGTCCTACAGCAGAAGTAAGAATGGGAAATGTCCACGGCGGGACGACTACCTGGAGCACGACGAATCCAATCCTAAGTTACAAATGTTAACAGGAAGTTAGTTGTTAGTGAGCTCGCCAAGACATCACATCTTATGCCTACATATTCTCATCTGTAAATGAGAAATCAGAGCGTTTGTAGTTCGTGAAACCACGGGTTGTCAGGCTCTAAGAACCAAGAACAAAAAAGACAAGTAAGGAGTAAACAAGGGACATGCACAATGACAATAAAGTCAACATACAATCTCTTCCCTTTGATTAGGCCAACAAGGAATAGAAAGTAAAGCAACAAGTACATGGAAGAACATCATGTAAATGGCAAGCAATAAATGAAGACACAAACACAGTACACGGAAAAGCATCATGTAAAAACAGACAAAGATACGCGGCAAAGCATGGCGAATAACAAATAACAAGTATGCGGAAGAGCATCACGTAGTAAATAAATAGAGATACGCGGAAAAACATCGCGAATAAAGTCCACAAACAATCACGGAAAAGCATCATGAAGCAAATTGAAAACACAATTACGGAAAAGCATCGTGAAAATCAAACAGAACATGGAAATAAATCAGTCACAAATAGAAT